ACAAGAAAAATAAAAAATTGGTATAATTCGTTAGTTGATAAAGTCGACGAAAACACAATTTTACTAAAATTTTGTATGTAAATATATTTATAGATACATTTATTTCAATATTGTATTTGTATAGTATTAAAAAAAATATAAGAACAAAACAGAGTACCTAAATATAGAAAAATTCTATTCGTAAATGCGTTTCAACAAATATACCACACTGTAAATAATTTGCCGGCTCTTTAACAACAGAATGCTAGTGATTAATGATTAATATGAAGATAAGAGTAACTTTTCCTCAAAGAAAATGTAGTTTGGTCAAAAATCAATAGCCGCAGTTTCATTCGGTTTTAAATAAAAGACAAGGCATTCCCCTTTTTGGTTTCGTACAAAGCCAGATATAGAATAATTTTTTAACAGTAAATGTGAAAATTTGAAACTTAATATTTTTACATTCTCAGTTGTCACTTAGAAAATTAGTTTGTTTTTTATAGTTTAAGTAAATTTTTTTAATTAAATAATTGAGTATTTTTGAAGAAAAAACTCAACGAGTCAATTAACATCGTAATTGTCTCTGCTAATTAACCCGCTGAAACATGGTACTATTCCTATTGCTTTCCATACGTCAAAATGAAAAGACTTAAGCAACGAACCTCGACTCCAAATATATCGCAATATCAAAAATTTAAAAGTGGTTCTTAAGTTTAAAGGAAAAATAAATATATTTAAATAAATATATTTAAATAAATAAAATAATGCTACCGTTAATATTTGTTTTTGTATTTCAACCCAAATAAAAATATATATTAATAGTTATATTTATATTCATATTATCATAAATTAACAAGTTAGGAAGGGCTAAGTTCGAGTGTACCCGAACATTTCATACTCTGGCAACTTCCCAGGATCAAAGTAGGCTTAATACCTTCAAGTGGAGTGGATTATAATCAAATTTGATATTATTAACTTACATTCATAAGTACCTTACATAATATCACCAATATATTATATAAGGAGTAAAGTTAACTAGACATATGCAAATTTTGATATTGGTTATATAGGGGCTTAAGCTAGTTTTCACCCAATTTTGTGCAATTTAAGCACAAAGATACAATGTTATTATAGAAACACGCTTTTCGATTTCAATAAGATATCTCACATATTGACCGATATATGTATATGTACAGCTTGCAGAAATGGACGGACGGACGGACAAACAGTCACCCGGATTTCAACTCGTCTCTTCGTCCTGATCATTCAGATATATGTATATTACTCTATATCTATCCCGATTAGTTTTAGGTGATATGCACAACCGTTAGGTGAACAAAACCATTATACTCTTCACCAACATGTTGCAAGAGTATAAAAATAGTACTTCATTATTATAACTTTTCTTTTCAGTCCACTATCCACTATGCACATAGCCTTAAGTGTCGAATGATACCTATCTACGGATGTTAATGAGTGTTATAGAGATATGCAATGAAATCAAGTTCTCCATTTATTCAGGATTTCACTATTTCTGAAGTATTTACGCCTCGTCACTGAAAATCAGGATGTTTTGGAACAGGGTTGAGTGTCCATTATATATTATAAGTAACATAAATTACAGAAATAGTTTGCGCACTTTCCATTTCAGTTTCAGTAATGACATTTAAAAATTTCTCCTTAACAAATACAGTGGCCAAATTTTGTATAATATTTTATTTTAAATAAATGATGGTGTAGGGTATATAATAATTATTAAGCTAATACAACTAAAATTTAATTAATATCCAAATTAATTCAAATATCGTTCATATTTATACTAGGCGGAACGGCTACAACTAAACATCAAGCTTTTAAGATAGAAAAATAATGCTGAACTGAATGAAATTTTCTCACAAGGAATTTATCAAAACAAACATTTTGTGAGACTATTCATTGCTAGGAAGTGCATTGAAGAAAACTGTTTATAGTAAAAAATTGAGAAAGTTAATTTTTCAGCAAAGTTGGCTGTGATAGTTTGAAGCGACAAATTTTTTAGAAGTAATTCCCAAATGTCCCAACTCTAAAATTTCTGCGATTGCACATATTTAAAAAAAAATTGCTATTTGTACTAACTTTCACTTTAAATAATGGAAATTAATATCTTTTATTTTCAAAATTTTTCATGCCTAAGAACACTGTGTCATGTTAACGAGCCTGCTAGACGCCAGCCTTGCAACTAAAACCAGAATTAAATCTGTCAGCACTGCTTGTGGGCATTTATATATAGATATGCGTGCCTGCACGCAGACGTAAAAAAAAAAACAATAAACTCATTACTTGCCATACCAGAAATAATTACTTTGCTATTATGCTAGCAAATTTTCAAAACCTCCTGCTCTTGTGCATATGCCTATTTGCCAATACGTGTTTATCATTTCGGGCGTTAAACTTTATTATTTATTATCAGTGTTACTGATACCTGATTTAGTGACACGTCGAGCTTAGTAGCGATTATGTAAATGAAATCGTAGTTTTGTATGAATTAAAACGAGGCATACATATTCAAAACAAGGTTACTGACTTCACGGCGAGATTTGGAAATGGAAATTTTAATAAATTAGATACATTTAGCGTAATTGAATTTGAGAAAAATATATTTTAATTGTAATTTGACAAATTTAAAATAATTAGTCTTCATATAAAAAAAAAAGCTATGATTATGCAAGAAGTTTAATATCGAGATATCTATATTAAATTATTTTTTAAAAAGTAATCATTTAATGAACTTATAACAAAATATAACAAATATATTAACAGAACTTTTAATGGAAACAAAACAAAGCAATTCGAATCCAAAATAGCAAATAAAATGATATTAGACTGCTGAGAGTGTGAGAAATAACGTTTTCTCAAAAAAATTAAAAAAAAAATGTATTCTCCACATCATTTGTATGTGTTGTATGAACAATGAACGGCTCTTAAAATTGGTTCTGCCGCCTAACTGTTTTACTTTGTTTACAATTCATGAGAGAAAAATTAAAAACGAAACCGTTAACTTGCCGTGATAAAGCACCATGAAACCTTGCAAACATTTACTCACACACAAATGAGATAAAAAAGCAAATGTAATAATATTATGCTTGTGCTCTATACCTGTTCTAAAGTGGCAATCATGTAAGAGTTGTAGATTATGTCAACAGTTTGCATAAAAAAATAGTGTATAATAATAATTAGAGGAAATCAATATGTACCGACGAGTTAAAAATAGACTGCGGTATCGGTACAGGCGTGTTCAACGAAAAACTTCATTCAATCAGGCATTATACTCCGGATTGCCGCAGCCATTAACAAACTTCAGTCTCGTTAATAACTGTAAGACGGTGTAGAGGTCTCTGGGCGAACATATTACTTTTCTAAATTGCCGGTAAAAGAGCGTACCTGATAAGTTAAAGACTTGGACAAGATCGCAGCTAGCTCAAACCAGATGTTCAACTTTAAGTACCAAACAGAAACAGAAACAGAAACAAGTATTATAATAAGAAGGCAAACTATCCATTACAAAGGTCGAGAAAATCTTGATCAAAAACCTTAATAACAGATCATTGACTTGAGTGTCATTGATGAGAGTATCGTCAATTAATATGTGTTCTACAAATACAACAGTTTTTATCGCAACCTGAAAGGAATGAGGAATGTATATTTACCTATATAAAGAATTATTTCTTGTAAGTAAAATAAATCTGGCATTGAAAGCTATCAGAACCTGTTTGATTGGAATATGTTTTATAAATAAACAAATTTTTTGTTTACCTACATATATTTTTAATAGTTTTGTATCAACAAAACCTAGAATCAAAAAGATCGGTTTTGAATACTTAATCAGGGTCGATAATGATATTTATATCAACCGAACCTATAATACGGAGTTGTAGCATTATTAAATTAACCTTTACAACAAAAACATTTATATGGATATAGTACTCAACGCATCTTTTTTATCCGCTTATGTAGTGCTCAGGTTCGTTAATTTGTACTCAGCGGCCGTAGTAAACAACCACTAGTATTTAAAGAAGAGTCTCTCCACTTTTTTCAAATTGTCCTCATTTGATATATTCGCAATAAGACTATTTCTAGCTAAAACTCAATTTTCATAAGTTAATAGGAAATTATTCGAGTAAATTTAGTATGAAATTGAGCAGTTATTTTAGTCGGCTGATGACTTCTTTTTGAAATTGGAGTAAACGTACCGTAGCAGTTCTATTTACTTGCTTTACAATTGTGGTGGCCTTAAAGAGACTACAATTTGGAAAATTTTCCAGAAAGAAGGCGATGGAAATTAATAAAAGAGTAATGAGTGGTTAGATTGAAATACATTTGCATAAATACATGACTTTAGAAATATATTTCATCCTTAAAGAAGCGAGTTTTGGCACTAGTGAAGTAAAGTTCATGTTTATCTTAATTAATTCCACTCTACCTAGTTGCGTGGAAGATGATAATATCAATCAATTCTTCCTCTTGGAAAGTCGTGTCTTATCTAATACGGCTTTAGCCAACGAAAAGGACTATACCGGTTCTATACTTATAACTATAGAGGTATTATTCACGAACTAGCCCTACAAAAGCCAACCAAACTTCAACATTCAAAAATCAAGCTTTAGAAATTTTTGGGAGTTCCACTGTATCAAAAACGTTCAGTGTGTGCTACCAAAACACACGACGATGCTCTTAACAAGGCTCGCAGCCGCTTCGGGTCGCTATTGCACATCTTAAAAACGGCCCGCGCACTATTGGAGCATACCAAAAACTAACTGGAGGGAGCTACCAAGTCAGAGCTTAACTTTGCTGATCTTATTGCACTCGCTTGGACACTTTGAATGGTCTCTTTGTTTGCATATGGAATTCAAGAGATCTCTTTTTATACAACTATTTTTTTTTTTAGTTTAAACCTACTAAAAGCTTGTTGTGTTTGTAAATGAGCTACAATGAGACTAAAGTAAACTCACAACCAAGGAGCGCCATGTCTTGGTTGCGCTGTAGTTGTAGTTGCCCGCTGGAGTATGGGTTTTTCACTTTGTGCTGTCGTTGACTGCTAACTGGCTGTTTGCCGCCACTTTTAAACTGAGCGTAGTAATTTATAGTCAAACAGTTACTTCGTGGCCATTCAACTAAACCGACGCAGTGGGTATGCGCGCTACCGCCACATATCTTTTACCACATAATCGAGGAGCATAGAAATGGTGTAAAAGTTTCAATTTCCATTTCGTGCAAAGTAAATAATTTTTATACACTTCTGCAGTAAAAATTTTAATTAAATTGATTTGTGCGCATTGATAAGTTATTCTGAAGTACCGCAGTTAACTTCTAAACCGCGGCTAACAGTTGCAATTGTAAGTGTATATGCATGTGTGTGTGTGTGTGTGATAATCACATACCTGTTTAGAAGAGGAAGTAATATAATTAAGAAAGAGTGGCGCGCATAGAAAAGAAAAGTGCTCGGAAGAAAGTGTTTAATTGCAAAAACAAGAACAAGAACAAAAATAAAGTAATCAAAATTAACAAATTAAGTAAATCTGTTATACTGCAACTTGTAGTGAGATAAGCTGCGTGTTTAATTAAGATGCTGGATAATCGCTTAACAATTACAAATGCAGACGAGTATGAAGGGCTTGGTTTATTTGTGTGATTTGCTGCTTTAATTGCTTGTGTCTTTTTTATGGCAGCAATAAATTTTCTAAAACTTTACGCAGCTGTTAAATATACTGAGATAGAATTCGCAAAAAAATATAGCCGGTCAAAAAATTAAGTATCAGAGCATCTATCATATGCAAAAATCAACAGAGACGAAGACTACTACGAAACGTGTGCGAAAATGTTTTCATTAATTATGCAAATTATATTTACGGAAAACTAGTGCACAGGCACAAAAAAAACAGAAAATAACCTTATTTAATTGCTGATTAATAAACTACAAAATATTCACAACAAAATTTTTTAAATAAATCTTTTTTTTATTAAAAACTAGGTCATTGCCTAGGCTTACAAATTTTAAGTTTGTTTGGTTATAAATTTTTATTATTTATTAAAATTTGTTTTTGTCAACGCATCAACTTTCTCTCTCTCCCTTTTAACCGCAGGTCTAAGGTCGAATTTTTAATTTCAGTTTTTTATTTATTTTTGTTGAACCCGCTCTTATGCATAACGCCAACCAGCAGTGGCACAATGAAAGTTACATCACAGCACCTTGACAAAACCCCACACAAAAGACATATACAAACAACCGCACATAAATTATTTACGATTTTGTTTGCGTTTCAAATTAATGCAGTTGGCGACCTAAGTTCACATTCTAAAATCAAAATTTCATTCATCTGCGCATGCGCCGCGACGCTTACACATTGTCAATGACCACGCGTTTAAAACAGATTCTATATTTTACAAATTAGCTTAGTCGAAATAGCCGCCAAATTGCGACCTTGACTAATTTACGCATATGCGCATTTTTAATAGGCTCCCATACATATATACATACAGACGTACATATATCTGTATTACGCGTGTATATTATAGGAGATATAATTTATAAAATAAAATAAAGAAACTTTAAAATCAGTCTTTAGCAGTGTTGTCTGTTTAGAGTGAGTTATTATATTTTATATTATTAATGATAGGAAATCATACAAGCGCATGACTTAGCAGTGGCGAAGATATGCGGAGCGATTTTTCAACGATCCCGGTAAACTTAATATTTCAATATTCGAAGATACAGACTAAAACGGAGGTTTTTAATTATTCTTCTTCTTCTAACTCTACCTCAAGACCTAAAAACATTTCTAGCTGGATTGCTAGACATTTAAATACGGCAAGAAATTCTGGAAAACCACCTGTCCTGCTAATATTTTAAAATATGAATAACTGTCGGATTCTCTTCATAATTCCATATAATCCAATAACGAATATTAAACAAATATCCTTATTACAAAGATTTTAATAAATATTCGGTTATTCAATAAAGTGGCTGGTCCTTGAGAAATCATTCGTAGAATGTAAGATACCCTACTCTAAAGATATTCTTCTCTTCTTCACTTGTATTTCTAAGAACTTGCTAATAACGAAAATAGATGTTTTGAAACACATCTAGAAAATTTGTCTACTAAATTTATAATATAATATTTAATTTTATTTTTAATTACGAAATATAATATGACAAAATAAAGTAATTTAAAGGGTTATACTCGTATATACTTGGTAATTTGAAAAATCCGATTTTTTTCGTGCGTATGCATAAGCTTTTTGGTAATAATTGCGATTTCTTAAGCCACTCTTTACTGTAAAGTTTTCACAATAAAATTATTTCTTTTTTAGAAGTCGTCATTTTGTCAAAACTGAAAATTTTTACTAGTTCTTCGGTCATTACCTACCTCCATCTAACATATTGTCATAATAATATATTTTTGATTTTTGTTTTTGATACAATTGTTAGCAGAAAAACCTCCCTCATCGACAGACACTTTTTTTCTGAGGTCTTCCTTGAGTTCGCCTATACGATCAAGGGAGTCCAAAATTTTTAAAAATTAATCGCTGATTATTAGAGTACATTAAGCTCGACAAAAATAAATTACTTAAATTTATTTAATAAATTTAATGCCTCTTTAAAAAAAAAATCACAAAAAATTAGCGCTGTTAAACAAAGTACTTGGGGTCTTGACACAAATATTGATAACTTTGCATATTTATGGAAGTATACGTGTATATATTTGTTTGTCGGTTTACGTACGACTACTTAGGTGTTTTACTCTTTGAACAGCCAGCTAATCTAAACATAATTTTCTTCAAGTATGATGGACATAAAATGAAGTTATACGACGTGCAAAAATGCTTACAAATGGTTTTTATTACGCTAATTTTATCTACTTTATTACCACATAAATGTAAGCCTAATCTTTAGTGCGTGTAAATTGGGCTTAGAAATACGAAACATTTGTAACTAGCTACCATTTATGAATGTGTATGTAGACACGCAGCTGATATTAAAATATACTTACATATATGTATATAATAAAAAGGACATTCAAAACAACAAAAGTACGAAATATCTGATTTAAAAACTATTATTCATTGAAGCGTTTACGTTTTTGCTTTTCAGCCTGCCGTTTTAAGAACAGAAATGCATTAGTCAAAATAGAATAACGGCTTAGAAGAAAGCCTAAAAATTTTCATATTAAACTTTTGAAAATGATAAGAAAAGAAAAGAAAGACATTTATAGTCGGTTGAAACTTATCGTATATATTATAGCAACACCGAAGCTATAATACCCTTCACATATACCAAGGTTCCTTACAAGAACTTGATTCCGATCTAATTTCGTGAAGATACCGCGTCAAATAGTGATCCGATCCAAACAATTTCTAAGGAGATTACATTGTTGCTTTAGGAAATAACTCATGCCAAATTTCGTGATGATACATCGTCAAATGAAAGAGTTTTCCATACAAACACTTGATTCCGATTGTTCAGTTTGTATGGCAGCTATATGCTATAGTGGTCCGATATCGGTCGTTCCGACAAATGAGTAGCTTCTTTGTGAGAAAAGGACAGGTGCAATTTCAGATCGATAGTATAAAAATATATTTTTATTGTAAGATATCTTTAATTGACTTTCATTAAAAAAAAAAGTTTGCAATAAATTAACTTCCTATTCAATATACAAAATACTGATGATTTCATGAAATCTTTACAAAAGAGCGTATTTAACCGATTATTATAATCATTCATTTAATAATATTTTAAATTTCTCTTTATACTATATGGCAACCGTTTCGAGCATTTGTATAAATTAAAGCCTGCAAACATTAACCGCTAAATTAATGTTTCGTTTTTCCATAGGTGGCCAATCTAGTGAAGAAAATACGTTCTATTAACAGATTTACAGAACAATTTTAATTTATTACCAAAAATGTATTATTTTTATCTTAATTTATTTAAAATTTAGTCTTATTTTAGTTTACCAGGAATGATAATTAAACCTACTCGGTAACCAATTGAGCTTCCAAGATTTTAAATTCCATATATGTATGAAGCTTTCCGCATTATTTTCAGAATCTCCTGAGATGTGCTGTATTACCGTTAATATACTGTTTTATCCCTTCAGGTTTGATCAAGATGTATATTACATATATATTTACTTAAATATCCCTGATATTTTTGTAAATATATTAATTGGAATAAAATAAATGTTGACCAATATTAACTTTCGATAATCCAATCCATCGAGCTCTAGTGAAGTAATTGATTAAAATTTATTACTGCACGATCAAAAGTAGTCCATTTGCTCATTAATAACCTGTGTATGGTCATTCAAGTGGTTTCTTCTTTTCATTGTAACACCTGTCGCTGTCGGTGTATTTGTCAAGCAATTGCCACCATCACGGGCGGTGCAAATTCAACATATTTGGATTGGTGGGCATTTTTGGTGAATTTAATTAGGGCTTGGACATTTGCTCCTTCTGCAGAAGCGGCTAAATGCAGCTTTAAGCTTAATAAAATAAAAAGATTAATATATATATATATTATATCGAACAGCTGGAAAAGGTTGGGTAAAACCAATTAAAATTTTTGCCTTCGCCAACTGTCAATCAATGTATTTTCGAAGGTACCAAGGTAAAAGATTAGCTTTCAACGGTCATAATACAATACATACGTACAGTTATTTGTAGATATATGAATGTATATATACATATGTACATATACCTATATAATGTTATTATTTCAAAACTGTTTATAAAAAATAAGTCATTTAATATAATATTTTGAATTGACCTCGACTGTATCTAACTTAGTTAAAAGTCTCACTAAGAAATTTACATAACGGAGTATAAATATATTTAAATATAATAATAAATAAATAAATAATAACCCAACGATTACCCTCCTCCCGGCCAACCGACGCGAGGGGCGCAATCCGCATACGTGCGGAATTAGCCGAGTCAGAAAAGGCAAGAGAGTTTTTAAGTGTTGAGATCTAAAACTGCTCAGCTACAGAAACAAAAATTTCAACAGCTAAGATCTAAAGTTACAATATAATAAATTGTTACATTTTCATTTATTAAGAGAAAAGAATAAAGTCCTTTTAAAATACTATTTTCATTAATTTAACATTAAGATTGTTTTTAAGGTTAATTTTTTATAGGTGACAGGGGGATTATTGGTGCAAAAGTTATAAAAAACGATTTTTTCAGAAGGTCTTTTGGTATAAAATAATTTTTTGGCCAATGACTATTCGAAAGTGTATAATTATTTGTATATGAGCCCTTCAACGGGAGGACTTATGGCGATTGAATGAAAAGTTAAATTTAATTTTCTTTTGTATGTTGTTACCATCTTCCCATT